TGCTGTCAGAAAAATACAAAGCAGTGGTGCACATAAAGTGCTTAGAAGAGTGGGGTATTGTAGTCACTCTTGGACATTGGTTGCTGTGGTTGCTATCGCTCAGCTGAATCTAAAAGGTCCTTGTTAATCTACAATGCTCCCACTTCCTTGAGTTCTTCATCTGGGAGTACATTTCCCCAGAGAATGTCAGCTTAGGAAGGAAGTTTTTGCCAAGACAATTCAACGGGGAAAGAATAACCTTTTCAACAAATGGTGCCAGGTCAACTGGATAAACCACATGCAAAAGAGTGAACTTGGACCCCTACCTCATACCATATACAAAAATTTACTCAAAATGGAGCAAAGACCTAAATAAGAGCCAAAACTATAGAACTCTTAGAAAGAAACATAGGCACGAATTTTTGTGACATTCGATTAAGCCAACAGTTTCTTGATATGACACCAAATGCATAAGCAATCAAAGGAAAAAAATAAATTGGACTTCACTGAAAGTAAAAACTTCTGTGCTTCAAAGGATGCCATCAAGAAAGTGAAAAGACAACCCATAGAATGGGATAAGTTATTTGCAAATCATGTATCTGATGAGGCTCCAGTTTTCAGAATGTACGAAGAACATTTAAAACTCAATAAAAAGACAAATAACCTAACTAAAAAATGATCAAATGATTTGAATAGACATTCCTCCAAAGAAAATATACTTTGTAACAGTCAATAGGCACATGAAAAGATGCTCAATGTCATTAGCCATCAGGGAAATGCAGATGAAAGCCACAATGAGATAACACTTCACACCCACTAGGTTGGCTACAATCAAAAAGACAGACTATAACAAGTATTGGCAAGGATGTGGAGAAACTGGAACCCTTATACACTGCTGGCGGGAATGTAAAATGGTGCAGACACTCCAAAAAACAGACTGGCAGTTCCCCAAATGATCGAACCCAGAGCTACAACACAACCCAGCAATTCCATTCTAGGTATATACCCAAGAGAACTGAAGACACGTTCACACAAGAACTTGTACACAAATGTTCATAGCAGCATTATTCATAATAGCCAAAAAGCGGAAACACCCTAAATTTCCATCAACTGATAAATGGATAAACAAAATGTGGAATATTATTCAGCCATAAAATGATCCAAGTACTATATACATGCTACATACGGTTGAATCTTTTTTTTTCTTTCTTTTTTTAAATTTTACTTATTTAATTTTTGGCTGCGTTGGGTCTTCGTTGCTGCGAGAGGGCTTTCTCTAGTTGTGGCGAGCGGGGGCTACTCTTCTTTGCGGTGCGCGGGCTCCTCATTGCGGTGGCTTCTCTTGTTGCGGAGCACAGGCTCTAGGCAGGTGGGCTTCAGTAGTTACGACACGTGGGCTCAGTAGTTGTGGCTCGCGGGCTGTAGAGCGCAGGCTCAGTAGTTGTGGTGTATGGGCCTGGTTGCTCTGTGACGTGTGGGATCTTCCCGGACCAGGGCTTGACCCTGTGTCCCATGCACTGGCAGGTGGATTCCTAACCACTGAGCCATCAGGGAAGCCCCGGTTGAATCTTGAAAACATAGTAAGTGGAAGAAACCAGTCACAAAAGACCACATGTTATATGATTTAATTTATATGAAATATCCCAAATAGGGAAGTCTATACAAATAGAAAGTAGACTAATTGTTGCCTGGGCTGAGGAGTTTGAGAATAAACGGTGGGTGACTGCTAATACATACTGGGTGTCTTTTTTTGGGTGATAAAATGTTCCGGAATTAGACAGTGGTGATAGTCGCACAACTTTGTGAATATACTACTAAAACCCACTGAATAGTATACCTTAAAAAGTTGAATTTTATGGTAGATTATTTTAATCTCAATAAAGCTGTTATCCAAAAATGGAGCAAGTTTTTAGAAAGGGTGTGAAAAATTAGCTGAGTGAGTTTTTTTAGGGTTTTCTAGAGGTGATGAAATCCATACCATGTACATACACAAATCCATGTACATACACAACCAAATGCATTCACGTGCGCATGCATGCACACACACATTAATTTCAAAAGAACACTGAAGCAATTTTGTGGTACTTTTGAAAACAGAACATGTGACTATGACACCTTTTTTTTTTGGCCTTGCCTCCAGGCTTGCGGGATCCCAGTTCCCAGACCAGGGATCCAACCCAGGCAGTGAAAGCACCGACTCCTAACCACTGGACCACCAGGGAAGTCCCTGACACCTTCTAACTGGGAAAGGAAGACACCAGAGGTCCCAAGAAGAAAATCCTAAACAATCATTTTTTTTTTTGGCCACATGTAGTGCGGATCTTCGTTTTCTGACCAGGGATTGAACCCATGCCCCCTGCAGTGGAAGCGTGAGCCATAACTGCTGGACTGCCAGGGAAGTCCCATATCACCATTAATTTCAATATGACTTTGCTAGGAGGCAATTATTTGCCAAACAGTTTATACACTTAACTCACGGGACTACTCAGTGAGGTAGCATCATTATCTCCATATTACAAATGAGGATCAGAGAGTGTAAGTACCTTGCCTGGGGTCACACAGCATGTTAACGGGAGAGCTCCTTTCTCTACTCCAGGCTACCTATCAAAATGAATAAAAAAAAACAGTTGATACTCCCCATCCCTGAAACTTCAAAACTGTACCCTGGTGTCAACTTCGTTTACTTCTTCTCATTCTATACTACAACCCAACATCTATGTCCAACTTTTCCTACCTCCTTCACACTTTGCTCTGGCCAAAAATATCTCCCTGTTCTCCCTGAATGTCCCAAAATCTGTTACCAAAAGAGAGATCAAGGAGGGGTACATGTTGTAATCAGTGTACTTTGTAAGCTCTACACAGATGTAAACTAGCATTTCACCTTTTCCTTCCTCTAGGAAGTGCCTTCTTCTCTTGACATATGCAAAGCTTTAGGATCTTTCAAGATTGAGCTCAGTCCTCTCCAACTCTGGGAACCTCCAGACTGCAGGGTAGGCAGGGGGCTTTTCCTAGATTCCTGGACATTCACCATAAAATCCCTTCCACTTCATGCCCTGGTCCAACCTGACCACCAACCACAATATTTGCTTTGCTGTATAAGTTCTTTTGTCTGTATTTTTGTTAAGAAGTAATAGCTGTTTTACCTGGGCTGAACACTGGGTATTAGTCTCAATTTCCTCATTCGTCAAATAGGAACGATGATAGCTATGTTTGTGGTACCCATGATTTTCTTTTCAATTCCATTTTGGGAATGATGTGGACAGAGGCAATGTTGACTAGAGCATCAGTTCTCAAAGCGTGGTCTGGAGATACCTGGGGGTCACTGAGACCCCTTCCAGGGACCTGTGAGTTTCCTATTTTTTCAACTACATACCTGTGTGAATCTGAGTTTTCTTCTTATACTTGAATCAACACAACAGATTGAACGCAGAAACAGATGTGAGGGTTTCCCTGGTTGCACAGTGGTTAAGAATCCGCCTGCCACTTGAGGGGACACGGGTTCGAGCCCTGAGCCAGGAAGATTCCACATGCCACAGAGCAACTAAGTCCGTGCGCCACAACTACTGAGCCTGCTCTCTAGAGCCCGCGAGCCACAACTACTGAGCCCGCATGCTGCAACTACTGAAACCCGTGCACTTAGAGCCCATGCTCTGCAACAAGAAAAGCCACCACAATGGGAAGCCTGTGCACCACAATGAAGAGTAGGCCACGCTCGCCACAACCAGCAACGAAGACCCAACACAGCCAAAAATAAATAATTAAATATATAAAAAATCCTAAAAAAAAAAAAGACACAGATGTGAGATTGCAGCTGTTTCCTATTACGTATACATTAAAATGTTTGCCAAAATGTAAAAAAACCCCACTGTTTTCACTAATTTTTTTGGAAAATATAACTTTAAAAATAAAATATGTTTACATGGGATGACATTATTTTATGAATTGATAAACAGTTAAAGATTCTGTTTTAGTTTCTAATAGAGTAATTATCAACAGATATAATCCACACAAACAAAAGCTCTTTGGGATCCTCAATAATTTTTCAAGAATGTAAATTTTAACATCAAAAAGTTTGAGAATCCCTAGAGGAAAGAAAGTGTTACAGATTTGAATTTTCCAGGTACCTCGTGGTCTTAACCTTCCCCTGTGCTTCAGTTTCTTTTATCTCTAACACAATACTCACTCATGTGACATGGGCAGCTATTAATTTCTTTATTTTCTTAATGTTTATATGTTGCATTATGTCTGTATATAAGGACTGTCTCTGGAAGAATACACAATAAACTGGTCCCAGTGGTTCACCCTCGAAAGGGGAATTGGGAAACTGGGAGAGGTGGCATCGTAAACCTTTCTGCTGTGTTTTTTAATAAATGCATGCATTGCTTATTTTAATACTGAGCAATTAAAAGTAAAATAACACTTTTGTTTAGATGGATAGGAAACAGAAGTCGGCTCAAGGAAAGTAGTGTTGATTGACAATTTAAAAAAAAACAAACACGCGGGCTTCCCTGGTCGCACAGTGGTTGAGAGTCCGCCTGCCGATGCAAGGGACACGGGTTCCTGCCTTATTCCGGGAAGATCCCACATGCCACGGAGCGGCTGGGCCCGTGAGCCATGGCCGCTGAGCCTGTGCGTCCGGAGCCTGTGCTCTGCAACGCGAGAGGCCACAGCAATGAGAGGCCCGCGTACCGCAAAAAAACAAACAAACAAAAAACACGGAAGTTTTCCGTACCCGCCGACGAGCAGCTGACAAACACTTGGCGTAGGTTCTGCCCGACTCGCGCCCAGCCCTCAGGGATTAAGCCCCGGCCCATCAGCAGCCCCGCCTCGTCGCACAGCACCCGCCCCTCGTAACGTCACATCCGGCCGACCAGCTACCCCGAGCTCTCTCTGGCTCCCGCCTTCGCCCGCTTCCGGTCGTCGTCGTCGTCGTCGTCGCCGCTGCTGCCGCTGCTGCCGCTGCTGCTGCTGCTGCTGCTGCTACTGCTGCTGCTGAGGCCGGAGGAACGGGCGGCGGCGGCGGCGGCGGCTGAGAGGGCGGCGGCGGGAGCGGAGCGGGACAAGGGAACGAGAGGAAGCGAGCGAGGAGCGAGCGGAGCGCGCCGAGCCCCGCCCGCCCTTCCGCCCGCCGGAGCAGCCGAAGCAGCCCGGGCCCCCAGCCGCCGCCGCCGCCGCCGCCGCCCGCCCGCCTGCCCACCCGCCGGACAAAGCCCGAGAGCCCGCGTCCAGAGCCATGTCCTCGTCCGCCGGCAACGGCCACCAGCCCAGCCAGAGCCGCGCCATCCCCACCCGCACCGTGCCCATCAGCGACGCCGCGCAGCTACCTCATGACTATTGCACCACGCCCGGGGGGACGCTCTTCTCCACCACGCCGGGAGGTGAGCGCCGGCCGCCCGCGCGGCCCTCACCCGAGCCTGGAGCCGGCTCCCGAGCGCGTCCGCGCCAGCCTCCGCGGTGTCCCCTCAGTTTCCCGCCACGATCCTTTAACTCAGGGCGTGTCCACGCTGGCCGCTCCGGCCACCCCGGCTCCGCCACAGCCCCACCAAAGCCCCCGTGAGACAGCTTTCGGGAACCTTAACTTCGCGTTCTCTCTCGCCTGCAGCTCGATTCAGTGCGTGCCCACTCTGGGAAGTGGCTCTCTTGTAGCGAAAAAAAGCTCTTGTTCCCGCCTCGTGGCAGGTTTACGCACTCTGCCCAGTTTTCTGCCTCCTCTCCTCCTGCTCCGGGGCAAATTCGTCTACATTTGGCCTTGCACTCACTCCGCATTACCTCTGCCTCTTACATATTGTGTATTTGTGCACATTGACGCTTGATTTTGGAGCCGTCTCCCGGGCCTTTGTAGAAAGGAAGTTGGGGAGAGTAAGTCGCTGCTGGGACGCTGCGATGACTTGTTTAGCTGCTTTTAGACCAGGAGAAGGCTGGAATGCGGAGTTTGGAAGCCTCGCCCAGTGTTATCCTGCTTTGACAGCATTGTTTACTTTGCTGGATCAGGCCCCGCGGGTGGGGGGAGTCCCCAGGCTGGAGGAGTGATAAAATAGTGCTCAAGTAATAGTGTTGAGGGTAGAGCGCTGGCAGCCTTGAGGGTAGAGTTTTGGCGGCGCCGCCTTTGGAGGTAGATCGAAGAGGGCGTTGTCAAGCAGGGCACCCTTGCTGGGGGCTTGCTTGATCCTGGGGAAGGGGCAATGCAGAGCGGGGTTTCTGAACACTGCTTTTCAAAGTACGACCAGAAACTGTTTACAAGGAAGAACACTGGGGTAGAGGTGAAGAGCGTTGAATTAATTGGTCACGGGAAAAGGGAGCTCAAAGGTTGTCTTTCCCCTCACTGGGCTTTTCTCCAGAGGGAGGAGACTGGACTGCGATCTTGAGGGACATTATGAAGGGAATGGTGCTTCATTTTTAACTTCGTAACTTTGCCTTTTGGTGACGGTCTCTGGCTAGAGGGTTGGGACTTTGCTGGCAGCCCCTGCAGTCTGCAAGATTGCTAGCTTCGTTCTTGTGGGCTGGGCTCACCAGTTGTACTACAACCAATCCCCTGCAGTTAGGCCTGGGCGATCCTTTAATCGGTTGCACAATAGCAAGGCGGTAGAGTAAGAAGACCTTGCCAACAGGGGATAAAAATCTAGGAGAGAGCTCTACAGAGGAATCCAGCCAGGCCACTCTAGGGGTGGGGTGGCTGCCTTGGAAGACCTTTAAATGACCCAGGCAGGAGAAGTTCATCAATAAGTGTGGAGAACTGGGCTTAAGGACGTTATAACTTTGCAGAGGAGTGGAGTTTCTAGTGAGGTGGCTTACCTCATTGGAGAAACCTCCCTCCTGACCTGATCTGTTCAAGGCCAGACCCTGAGCATGCTGAAATCTTCTGGCCTTTTAATCGTGAAAGATTTTGGCACATCAGAATCTGCTCCAGATAGGGTTGTCTTGAACTTGAACTGACAGCTTTTAAGAAATGGATACTGTTTTCCAAGGTGATGGACAGAGATTTATAACTTCTTCCAGAATTCTTTGTGAATTCCGTAATGCCTGTGCTTCCAGCAGTTCAGAACTTATGTCATAGTAGCAACGGCACTCAGATATTATTTCTTTGAGTAAGGAACTAAACTTTTAGCTGTATATTAATCATTATTCCCCTGAGGGAAGAGCCACAGGGACACCCTTTTTGGCATATTTCAGACAGCCAAGCTACAATGCTTTTAAAGTAAGGGCATAGTCTTTAGGCGTACTTTAAAGATAGAAGCCTGGGGCTTCCCTGGTGGCACAGTGGTTGAGAGTCCGCCTGCCCATGCAGGGGACATGGGTTCGTGCCTGGGTCCGGGAAGATCCCACATGCCGCGGAGCGGCTGGGCCCGTGAGCCATGGCCGCTGAGCCTGCGCGTCCGGAGCCTGTGCGTCCGGAGCCTGTGCTCTGCAACGGGAGAGGCCACAACAGTGAGAGGCCCGTGTACCACAAAAAAAAAAAAGCCTGTCTCATAGTCTGGATTAGTTCCTACAGTGCTTGGAAAGATTCTGCCAGAAATACTGATTCATTTATCCTTCCTCCCTGTGTACATAGACGCTACTTCTTTCTCAAATATCACTGACCCTGTCTCCAGATTCTACACTTCTTTTTAAAATTAATATATTTATTGGCTGTGTTGGGATTTTGCTGCTGCGGGAAGGCTTTCTCTGGTTGCGGTGAGCAGGGGCTACTCTTCGTTGTGGTGCACGGGCTTCTCATTGCGGTGGCTTCTCTTGCTGCGGAGCACAGGCTCTAGGCACACGGGCTTCAGTAATTGTGGCGTGCGGGCTCTAGAGCACAGACTAAGTAGTTGTGGCGCACGGGCTTAGTTGCTCCGCAGCATGTGGGATCTTCCTGGATCAGGGCTCGAGCCCGTGTCCCCTGCATTGACAGGCGGATTCTTTTTTTTGCGGTACGCGGGCCTCTCACTGTTGTGGCCTCTCCCGTTGCGGAGCACAGGCTCTGGACGAGCAGGCTCGGCGGCCATGGCTCACGGGCCTAGCCGCTCCGCGGCATGTGGGATCTTCCCAGACCAGGGCACGAACCCGTGTCCCCTGCGTCGGCAGGCGGATTCTTAACCACTGCGCCACCAGGGAAGTCCCAGTTTCTACAATTTTTAATTTCTGTTTTAAATACTTGTCATCTTAGCTCATCTATTATATTGAGCCAATATTTATTGGTAGAGCACATTGTCGTCTTTAAATTTTTAACACAAAGACTTACATAATGTGTTTATAAAATATAGCACTGTTGTGATTGGATTTAATCACTATTTTATAGCAATTAACTCAGTGCTGCCTAGATGTTCAGTACTTACTGATTTAGTTTCCCCCCCGCTTTGGAAAATTTCCAATTTTCTGATGGTTTGTTCATCTCTTTTGTTACATTTCCCTCTCTCCTCTCATGTAATTTTCCTTCCCTGAACCAGGGTTGTTATTTGGTCACCTCTAGGCACCTGAATTAATCCGGTTAGGTACCTTAAGTGAGTTTTGTGGGTCTAGCGAAGTGCTTTGCACAAAAGGGGACTACAGACAAAAGTAGGAAATGCAGTCTTTGCTCTGAATGGTCTTAAAATCTTGGTGGGGGTTAGGGGTGGAAAAGCTTTTTAGTTCTAAAACAAAAACTTTTAAAGAGTCAAGTGCTAACTTATATATTTCAGACTTGAAAACATTTAGAAAAGCGATAGAAGGCTTGTATTGAAAAATCTATTTAGTAGGAAGGAAGGGGATTAGAGTTTTCTGTCTCAAACTTCTGGAAACTTTCTGAAGTGTCATACACATGTCAGAGCATTCCAGGATAACAGTTGATGTGCTGAATGCCCTAAATGATCAGACTGGGCAAGGACATTCACAGCACAGTGAACTTACCATCTCTCCCCACAGAGGATACAGCTTACCCTTGAAAAGGTTTCTCAAAATTGCATTCCTGTGGTTTGGAAAATGAGAGTTGGGTGAAAACATACTTGATGTATTTCTCATATTTTTAGAAGTGTACATTTTCTCATTATTAAGGAAGAGTAAAATTTTTCAGTAAATTCAAAATGCCCTTGGATTTTATTTTGTTTTGTTTTATCTGCCTGTGGAGGAATGGGGATGAATGACGTTCGTTTCTAACTTTGAGAAGCTGCTTCTGGCCTCAATGAAAGGTAAAGTTACTGTAGTCTCCTTCACTTTTGTGACATTAAGAAGGAACCTAATGCTTTCATTCTGTAACTGAGAGAAATTAAGTAACTCGTTAGTGTCATACAGCTAATTAATGTCAGTGGGTAGTCGCAAATTTAGTGTCCTGATACCTAGTCCAGTTTTTTCCTCTCTTGTCTTAAGATGTGTATTTTCCTAGGAAAGGAGGTTTACAAACATTTAAAAAGACTCTTCTACCTCTGGAATGCTAGCTAATGCGATTCTTTTTGTTGTCTTATTTTTTTTAAGTTCTGAACTGTCTCCCTGTGGGAGGGTTGTGCTCTGGGGAGTGAGCAGAAACACAGAGACCTCTTTGAGCCTTTCTTTTTGCCTTTCTTTTCCTGCATAACATCCTCATCAGCTGTGGAAAAGTATGCTGTTGCCATAACAAGAGCACCAGAGGGGAACTAACCATGATGGTCTGAAATCTTGTTCATACTCTGTGCTTCCTCTCTGCCAGCTGGAGAGTTGCTGTGATTGATTGGTTCACTGAAGGCCATTGGAAGGGTCTGGGCATAAAGGAGAAGACAGGAAGAAGGGAAAAGAATCCACTTGGAGTGAGCCATAATAAAGTAAGAGTATTTGGGGGGAGTCCTGAGTGTTAATCTGATTCCTTTCTTGGGAGAAATGAATAGAGCTCTGTGTAGATATGGGGAAGGAAGGCCAGTTTCTCACTGTTATAAAATTTCTAATTCAATGACCTTGGGCTGAGTTTATTCTAGGCCAAAACTTCTGAACCAGCAAGAGTACTTATTTGGCTCTCTCGTTTCAGTTATTAACCAAAGGACTTCATGATTACATGTGAGAAGTGTGTGAAAAACATGTTGAAAGTTGTCCAATCACTTTGCCTTGTGTTCGAGGAAGATGGCATTTACTTATCTCAGCGTAACAAAAATTAACATGTGTTGTCATTCTGGAGCAGATTTGGCTGTAGTCTCGTATTCGTCAGCTGCCAAAGCATGTACTAGAAGATGTAGCTCAGTTTTGTGTTGGGTGCATGTTTGCTGATGAGGGACTGAATTCTGAGCCTGGGAAGGCAGCAGCCCTCAGCCGCAAGGCATATAGCAGCGTGATGTGTGGAGGGGAGTGCCTCTGCCTGCTCCACGTCAGTCACAGCCTGATGAGGGAAGACAGAGCTCGTCCAGGCTGATAGTGCACAACTCCCTTCTGCTCTCCGGAGGCCTGTGTGTGAACCGGGAAGGGT